GGGAGACCTGCCATTGCCAAACTGTACAAACTTTTATCTCTAAAAAGTTTAGATTAAAAATTTTAAACTTATTCTGAAGTAATTAAGGATGGTGAAGATTTATTTAGAAAACTAAATAAGTTGTTTTCCTTTTTTAAGTGTACAATTTAAAAAAAAAATAAATAAGTAATTCTGACTTATCGCAATTTTATTTAATACAATTTATAAAAGTAAGCATGGAATAGTGCGAATATTTAGCAGTTAATCTTAATTTTAGTGTTATTACTCCTTTTGTTGTTATTTTAATTGACCGCCCGATACAATTGGAGCAAACAGCATGACATGCTTGTTTTTTTAGTTTTGGGATAACCCCTAGGGTCATTAGGTTAACTGTAAAGCACCTAAACAGCTTCAAATACCGGATATCACCGGTTTTAAGAAGTGTTTTCAGTTATTAAATAAAAGTATCTATTAATTTCATCATCTGTTTGTTCTTCAACAAAGAAATGTGTTAATTATATAAATAGTAATTACTTTAAGAATAAATTGTGTAAAACTATCATCTTCTTTTAGACTTTTTTAAACATTTTTTTGACTAAATAAAAAGTTAATAATTTACCGCTCAATTTAACTTTAAAATTTAAATTTCTTGAATAACGAGAGCCCTCTAATAAAAAACTATTGAACTATCAGGTAATGAGCATCGCCATATAGATGGCACCTTGAGTTGTTTACTTGTCAAAATACTGATACCTAGGTTATACGATAATGTTTTTATTAATTTTTTCGAAAAAACAAGCAAAAAAAGAAATATTTAAACAATTATGACTTAAACTGACCGTTTTTCTGTCATTTGAAGTGTCACAAATATTTACTTTCAGTTTTACATTTGTGTATGTCGTTATTATCATGGTCTGTTTAACATGTGCAATTTTTTATTGCTGATTTGTTTCTGGTTTGTGTAATAAATAAATTAAGGTAGGGCTCATATACTTTTGATAAAAATGAAGAAGGCTCAAATAAATTCGAACGAAGATCAAACCAAAAAGAGTAACAAAAAGGCAGCTACAACCAGTGTTAAACCTCGAGCTGCCAGAGTAAGTTGGTCAATATTTTTCATTACTTTTGTATATCTCGCAAGATAAGATAAGTAAAATTACGAAATGAAACGCATTAATTGTATGTTCGTCATTAAGTTCATTTTATATCAACCGTATTCTAGGAATCTCTTAAAGAGTTCAAGGAGAGGATGAAGAAAAATGCTCAAAAATCAGATGATAAAATAGAATTGTTTGGCATGGAAGACTTTTACGCCAAGGTAGTACTTATTATTTGCTAGTTATTCGAGTTTAATTAATTTATTGCAGTCTACCAATTCGATATCAAGCATTAAGAAAGGAACAGGTATATGTTTTGATGATTTTATGTCTCTACACAAGTGCATTTGGGATCCCGAGTACTCAGAGGGTCCACAACGTTATTTTGCTGTTATTAATAGGTACAAGTACATAAATTTCTCTTAAGCAAAATTTTAAAGTGACCCTATCACTTTCAGATTAAAAGAATTAGATTTGATTGAAAGATGTGAACGTTTGAAACCAAAACAAATAAAAAGGGAAAATATAGCTAGAGTTCATCATAAAGACTTGTATTTACGTTTAAAGGAGATTTGTGATATAAGAAACAGTTTGGAGTTGGAGAAAAAAGCCTCAGAATATGATTCAGTTTACTTTAATGAAGTATGAAATTTAGTTTACTTAATTAAATGTGTCTAAGTGTGTGTTTAATAAATTTCTTTTCAGCACACGTTCGAGGCTGCTCTGTATGCAGCTGGCTGTTGTCTTGTGATAGCAGAGAACGTTTGTAAGGGTGCTATAAAAAACGGGTTCGCAGTGGTCAGACCCCCAGGTCATCACGCCATGTACAACGAGTTCAGTGGCTATTGTTACTTCAATAACGTTGCCATAACAGCTCAACATCTCTTAGACCAAAATCTAGCTCAGAGGATTTTAATTATAGATTTTGACGTCCATCATGGACAAGGAACTCAACAAACATTTTATAATGATAATAGGTCAATCTTTTACTTATTCATTTACTTATTTCGGCTTTTATTAACGTCATGTGGTATTTTAGGGTGCTCTATTTTTCTATACATCGTTACGAGAATGGTACCTTTTGGCCCAATTTGAGGGAATCTAACTTCGATTTCGTAGGGGATGGTAATGGGAGGGGGTATAACATAAACGTACCTCTGAATGAAACGGGATTGGGAGACGATGATTACTTGGCAATTGTACTGCAAATTTTACTTCCTGTGGCCTATGAAGTAAGCTTATTATACATATATGTAGTTAAAATGCATATTGTTAATAATTTGTAGTTACATTAGCCAGTGTATTCGTGTCATGATTAATATGTGCTTTTTAATACGCAGTATCAACCAGATTTCATTCTCGTTTCCGCTGGATACGACTCGTCCTTGGGCTGTTTAGAGGTGAATAAACAATTATTTACTGATTCCTTTCTTTTCTCTTATAGTTCCAACCTAATTTGATAATTGTCTCTGCTGGTTTTGATTCTGCGATTGGTGACGAAAAGGTTCGTTAAATTTCTTTAAAACAGTCAGTCTTGTAAGTCTTTAAAACTACTACTACCACCACCCCACCCACTTGTTGTAGTCGAAAACCTCCCCACCCTCTCAATTCTCTTTTTACAGGGTATGATGTTGACCACGCCCGCCTTTTACGCTCACCTGATATTCCTCCTATCTGGACTGGCTGAAGGCAAGATAGTCGTTTGTTTAGAAGGTGGGTACTTCCTTCCCTCCCTAGCAGAAGGAGCGGCAATGACGTTACGTTCTCTCCTCGGCGATCCACCACCCACTTTAGCGCCCACAAAGAAACCAAAAGATAGTACCATTGATGTCATTAACAACATCAAATTCGTTTTGAAATCTTATTGGAACTGTTTTCGCCCTTTCGAAGTCGTTTCGACAGCTGGCGAAGGGGCGGAGGTTCACAAGGTGTGTGTGGAACACCTGGACGCACCGCCTGTGCCTCCCTATCCAACTAGGGCGTGTTATCCGGTAGCGGAGGAGGGGTACAACGTCAAATATACAGAGGCGGTGGAAAAATTAAAGGAAGGTGAGTTAGAAATAAAATAAGAAGAGAGGGGGACAATCTAAAGAAGAATAATTGACACTTTTGTTGTAGAATACGGTTGTAAGTACAATCAGGGGGTTTGTTACTGTTATGACGATGAAATGTTGCTCCATAAGACGAAGAGGGAAGACGGTTACGAAGAGCCTATTCGACTCAGGACACTTTATGAAAGGTTTAAGGAATTCGGACTTGACAGTCGGTGCAAAAGGATTGATGTGAGTAATCGATTTTCCTCTTTCTTTCCTTAAATTATTCAGGAAACGTTTTCAGGTAAAATTGGCGGATTTGGAAGTCTTGCAAAAGACTCACGGGAACGAGTACGCGAAAAATATAGTAGAGGGGGCTTTCAAGGAGGTGAACATGTCCAAACGCGACATCTACACGTGCGACGATTCAACGAAAAGTATTTTAAAGTCGGCAGGCGGTTTACTCAGTGTCATAGACGAAGTAATGGCGGCGGAGAGCTCTTCGGGATGCGGCGCCGCCTTTATACGTCCCCCCGGACACCATGCCGACCATGGAAAGGCAATGGGATTTTGTTTCATAAACAACGTAGCCGTGGCGGCCAATTATGTTCTGGACAAATATAAATTGCAACGGTTAGTGTTTTTTCTTATAGGTTTTTGTCGTTTTTTCGTGATTTCTTTGTTATTTTTCTTTTAAGGGTGCTAATTGTCGATTTTGATATTCACCACGGTAACGGAACTCAGAGTTTGTTCTACGACAACCCCAAAGTCCTGTACCTAAGCGTCCATAAGTACGACAACGGTAATTATTTTCCTCAAAGCGAAGACGCCAATTTTGATAGAGTGGGAAGGTATGCAGGGGAAGGTTTTAACGTCAACATACCCCTGAATAAGGTCAGTATCCTCATTTCTGTTAAATCAGCAATTTTGATGCAATTTTTATTCAGGAAAAACACGGAAACTCAGAATACTTGGCAATTTTCCATCGGATAATCCTCCCCATTGCTTATTCTTTCTCCCCTGAGCTCGTTCTTGTGTCTGCGGGCTTCGATGCGGGGATCCACGACCCCTTAGGTCATTACAAGGTTACACCAGAAGCTTTTGGGCATTTTATTCAACTCCTCCACCCCCTTGCCCGAGGTAGAACAGTATTAGCTTTGGAGGGGGGTTACAATCCCACCACTCTCGCCTTCTCTATGGTTATGTGCGTCAAAGCGTTACTAGGAGACCCGCTACCCCCTCTAGACAAGACAGATCTTATCAACGGGTCTGCACAAGCATCTATAGAGGACGTTATAAGGGTGCAAAAGGAGTATTGGCCAGTTTTAGGGGTTGATAAGAAGTTACCCAATTACGTTGAGTATCTGAAGGTGTTCGATGGGGTGGAAACGTTGGAAATTAGACGTCCCGATCCGAGACTTCTTAACTGTGGAGTAGAAGAATTAAAAAAGAGATTGAGGAGGGAACAGGATCGAGGCGATATGGACAGTGTCGTAGAAAAATTGGAAAAGGTTACCTTGTGAATAAAATAATGATTTACAATAATACTCAACGCGTTTTTGACGGTCGGTTTCTTTTTTATTATTATTTATTAATGACTGCAGTTTATGTTTTTTTTTATAAGTTTTTAGAGTTTTGCAACACATAATTTTTAATAAATGGCAAATTTAACATTCCTTTTTAACTATTTTATTTAGTTTGTTCTTTGTTTTACACTGTATGTTCGTTTCTGTCAATAAATTATTTTCATTTCGTTCTTTTTGCTTTTAACTTTTTCATTTTGTTTTTCTTAATATTCTTCACATAAGTACATAAAAGTATACGAAAATACTTTAAAAAACAATTGCACCTATGTTAAAGAGGATAACAATAAATTCTATTCAAATGTTGGCTTGTATTTCAACTTTTTATCATTTTTTTTATATAAAGGATGATAGGCACCAAATAAAAGAGGATCATAACACTAAAACTTAGATGTGCATTTTTTCTGCATGTCACTGTGCTATCTTATGTCTGCTGAAGATAAAAGGACACATTTCAAAAATATTATTGTTTTTGCATATACATTCATACATTACTTAAAATTCAAAGACTGTTTATTGATAATTAAATTATGTAATTATTACTTCAATTCTGTTCGCAAAGTACATTCACCTTTTTTTATTCTCAAAAATCTAGATAATGCACAATATAACACTCAACGTTTCTCATATCTGTATCGTCTTTTCGCAGTTTTAGCGATAAAGAGTTATTACACTTCAATACATTAGTAACTAGCAATTCCGTTATCAGTGAGCGGTAAAATGATATAATTTTCTATTAGTTGTAGTCTAAATGTAATGTGTAAGTATAAAAAATCGCACGTTTGAATTTGTTGTGTTTCAAGCATTAAATTGCAATAATTTAGAAGTGTGTGAAGAAAGGTTTGCTTAGTTAAATGCACAACATATACATATAGCGGTTTGCAGTTTGTAGTCCAACAACTTTCTTCACTCATGCACTTGGGTAAGTCAATAAGAACAGTTATAATTCATTTATTTTTGTTTATTTCCGCAAAAATAAGTTAATTCTTTTAACAGGTTATTTTAAATGTTACTTATGATACGGATTTCTTTAGCAAATTATTTAAAATGATTGTTATAACACGTTACCAAATTTATTTTGTCCTAGAATTACTTTATTGTAAATTTCTAGCTGTTGCATTTTCATTTAAAGATGGTGTACACTACACGCCGTAGGTACATGATACCATAAATTAAATGCTACATTTTTTAGGCAATATGGGATGATATAGTGAATGAATTTTTTCGTTTTAGATAAAATTAGATTTGTTAAAATATATATAAATGACCTTCACGTGATTTTTTTGTAGATAAAGTATAATTTTTGAGTCAATGCAGTGCAATGCTTGTATTCTTTTTTTAACTGATTCAACATTAGCAGGCAGTATAACTGCTTTTCAAGAAAGTACGTTAATTTTTTATTTAATGAATAATGATTTAATGAGGAATAAAATAAAGATTACACTGATTTCGTTTTTCATATGATATAATGGAATTAAGTTGTTGTTTATATTAATAAGTTTTTATAAGGCTAGGTTAATTTGTATGTCAACTGTTTTAATTATTCATCTTTTTCAATTAATATTAATTAATTTATTAAATAATATGAACCTTAAAGTTGCCCCTTAACGACGCCTTTGCTTTTTCTATTAATGAATAAATGACGTCACTGGCAAATTTACCAATCTGTTGCCATTTGCTACGCTGCCAATTTTTCCTTTCAGTATTGTCTGAACGCTGTTGCGGTGTAGACTGTCTCTGCGTTTAATTAATTTCTTTATTCGAAAAGTACTTAATAAAAGATACTAAAACCACTTTGAACTTTACTTATCGTACATTGTCGTACTTCATTTGTGTCTGTGATAAGATTTAAAGCAATATTTGCCACTTAATTGAAGGTAAAAACGTGTTAAAAGAGCAAGCCTGTCAGGATAAATGTGAAAATATAAATATCTGCCGATTTAATTTCAGTTTGTTGTGCAATTGTGATATTAAAAATGGAAATTTTTAAAATTTCGAAGTCGATAAAATCTGTTAGAAGTCCCGTGACTACTTTTATCCAGAGCATGACATCTTTTCAATCAATCTGAAAGTGAGGTTAGGTCGAAGTGTCTATTACTTAATTTGTGTGGACTAAAGTGCAAAAATTAAACTTTTTAATTCCTTCAAACAGTTCCTTCCATCAAGAATTGTACCGATCTCGTTCGTTCTTGTTTTATAGTGCAATTATTTTGAAGTTGGACAATTTAAATCGAGGACTTTCTTTTTTGGGGCAGACCCTTCTAAAGAACTAATCTGCTACATAATAAACAAACATTCACAAGATTCCCTTGGTGAATAAGTCTTTCGATTTTATGTGCTGCGATATGATCATAATAGATTGTGAATCACACAATTGCTATTCGTTTACTTTGAGATTTACTAAAATCAACACAGTGTGTACGAATAAGATGCCCACAGCAGAGTCTGTTTTCATTCGCCCCCGAATAGGCTACCGAGCAAAAAACGACCCTGGAGACTGACATCGAGACATCAAGAACCGTCACCATGCCCCCGCCCCCCTGACGTTCACTTGATGTTTAGGAAATCGTTTCCAGGGTTATAAAAAGGTAAAAATTACTTTTAATAGAGAAGTACAGTAGTAAATAGTTTTTAAATTAAACATTCACTAAAGAGTATTTCATTTAGTAGTTAAATTAAAAATTATTTAAAGACTACCGCTTTTACTTATGTATTTAAGGAGAAAAGCTTAATACGTTGCTCTCCAGAATAGAATATACCATAGTTATGTCAGCAATAGATACCTACTTTATTAAACTTGTTAAAATTATCTCTTGCATAATATTTTTGCCTTGGACATAAATATATTATCACCTTCACACCTACACACATTAAATTTTTAATCATACTGTACACATGGCTTAGTATTTGTAATTAAATTTTTAATGTATTAATCATCTACTACAAGCTTTAACATTAACATTTTAAATTTTAATTGCAGAATTACACTAATAAATTATTTTATTTTTCCTTGATGTTGAGTGCATTATAAAATGCTATATTATTTTTATCAAATCAAACCGCAAAAGTATTTGTTATTTTATACATAACAATTTGCATATGATGATACTGCTTCTGCATTATAAATGATCTATTCTATCATTTTGTGGTTTTCGCAGGAAATACTGATCGTGAGATATTTTAAAATGTGCAAAACAGAAATAGAATGGGTTTTTAAGGTGATTGGGAATTCCCCCGAAAGCCGCACGAATTAAATTTTTATAATTTCATTTGTTTTTCTCTATCACAAAACAATTTTCTTACAAAGCAATCAGATTAAAATGTAATCTTGAAGAGTTTGATTAATTTTGGCTGTTTTCATTACGTTAATTAAAAATGTAAGTTCAACGTTTATTAATTTAAGTACTTTATTTTTATTCTTTGTCAAAAGTTTTCATTTTTTTTTTGTTTGAAGATGACGTTTTATTTTTTTTTTTTATTTCAGATCTGATTTTGCTGAAAAGAGTGGAACTTTTGATCGGATTGGAATTAATTCTCGACGTGTTTGTAGAAGGAACTTTTGTTATTATTTTCTTTTGCAAACGTATTACTAGTGATCGAAAAGTATTTCTGACAAAGAAAATTAATTATTACCGACGTACTTACATATTTGTTTTGTGTTGTGAAAGAAAAGTTTTATAAATAATAATAATTGCAAGCGTTCGTACATAACAATTCGGTGAAATTGTGTTTGAAAACGAGAGAAACAAAGCGAAAAAAAAATTAAAAACGAGTNCAATGTTGTGCGCGTATTACTTGCAAAACATTGTTTATTTCCAAGAAAATGGGTTCTGCTAAGAGAAATTTATTCAACTTTTTTAACTCGCGTAAGAAGAAACAATTCATACGTGAACAGCAAATGGGTTTGCTAGGAGGTGCATATTTTTTTATTACAATTATTATTACCCTCTAATTTGTTTATTATATAGATTTTATTTTGTTTTTCGTCTATCGCTTATTTAAACTGGATTTTATTTCTGATTGGTTCAATGTATTTTACGCCATCTGCACTTCGGTAGCTAAAGGGTATCTCGATTTTACTTGAATTCATTCGAAATTAACACCTGATGGCTGTTTTTTTTTTCTTTTTGATTTATTTAATAGGATCTACGCGACCTTCTAACAGCATTCTTTAATTGAAAGCAATTAAGGAAGCAATTAGAAATCGTAAAGGTGAATATCAGTTTATAAGTATCTGTTATGTTTTATTGCTTCACATGCCGTTTAGACATTGAGATGATAAAAAGCGGTTTGTCTTTCGTTTTGGTCTATTAGTTCCGGTTTTAAAGTTGCTTGTTTAGAAAAGACTCTTGTTCTTTATTTTTAGGCATTTTTTTTGTTGTTTGGGAAAAATTAACGAATTAGCGATTGTATTGTGTTCTCAAGACAAAGACCAATCATTTTCAGATTTCTCGGTGACCGCACCACCCAGGATGTACTTAAACAAGGGTCAGGAAGATGAGATGGAAGTTTTCGGTTATAAAAAAAACGCAACGAAAACTATCATCACGTACGTCTTGATTGTGCTAACGGGGGGACTCCTGCGACTGGTTTTTCACTGGGTGCCCCACTGGCTTCTTATGGCAACCAGTAAACTTTGCCCTGTGCCTCTTGCCGACAAAGTTTTGATAGTCGTAAGATCAATCTAAAAATTATATCTATCAAATAATGTGTAATGTAAAAGGCTTTTCTTCCTTCAGGATAAATACAAAGGTAAACATAAGACTTATTACGTCAAAACTCTTGAAGTTTTAACCCCTGGCAATATTAAAAAGGGGTTGCTCCTCGACGTAAAAGATAAGAATGTTATCGGTAGGGATGACGATGTTACATCTGATATTCAACCCCGGCTTTCAGTTCAGTTTGAACCTGGAATTTTCAGGGACGTCGACAGGTAATGAACCAATTTATATTATGGGCATTCCTGAAATAATTACATGTATATTTATTGTATTATTCCTTCCAGATTGTTGATGTTCAAGTGCAAAAAGTTCTCGTACATTTACGACACTGATAAGGGCGAGTTTGTGAAGTTGCAGGGATTGGATGGGGGCGTCACGAGCGATTTTTTCTACAACTGTAAGGGTCTGACGCAGTACGAGCAGTTCATGAGGCGCCAAGTCTACGGAAATAACGAGATAGCAATCAAAGAACTATCAGTATTAAGTATAATGTTCCTGGAAATATTGAACCCCTTCTACGTGTTCCAAATGTTCAGTTTCGCCCTCTGGTTCGCTGACGGGTATTACTATTACGCAGCAGCAATTCTCTTGATGTCGGTATATGGTGTAGGGGCCACTGTAATACAGACTAGGAGGGTAAGAAATTACTACTACTTTTTTTTTTGTTTTCTTAGAGGTTTAAAATAATAATCATTGAGGGTTATCTTTCAGAATCAGCACAATTTGAAGTCTACGGTTCACAGTTCTGACGTTGTCACGGTTGTCCGGGGAAAGCCGAAGCATAATTTTGAAGAAGTAGACGCCAAGAGGGAGTACGAAGCGATATCAACAGAACTGTTAGTCCCTGGGGACGTTATAGTAATCCCTCCTCACGGTTGCATCCTTCATTGTGACGCCCTCTTGCTGACAGGCAATTGCATCTTAAACGAATCAATGTTGACAGGTAATATTATATATAAAAGAAATTATGAGTGCTGTTAGCACAGGGCAAAGTAGTATTACGTAAACGAAAGTTAATACCAGCAATTTCTTATGCAGATGTGTACGATGTACGATGTGTTGCATACCTATTTACAAACAATTCCTTTAAATTTCAATCATTGATTACTATACATCTATTAAAAAACCATAATGGCCAACATCAGTGACAATGCGACAACAATTGAAAAAGAATGATGGCCGACAACAGCAACAATTAGAAAAGAATGATGGCCGACAACACGTCATAGTG